TACACTGCACTCCTTACACACATACACACACACACACACACACACACACACACCGCCCTCCATATACACACCGCCCCCTCACACACACATACTGCCCCCTGACATGGCTGCTAGTGTGGTCCAACACGCAGAAACTATGTAGACATATACATAAAAAAGGAAAGGAAATAAAAGGACAGAGCGTAAACCGGACCTTAGAATGGCCGGACTAATACGCTAGAGATAGAGAATGGTCAAAGGGAAAGCCGAGGTCAAGGAAGCCAGAAATACTCAGATACCGTTTAAACAAGCCAAGTCAGGGGAACCAGAATTCGGAATAACCAGGGAAAAGCCAAGATCAGGATACCAGGAAGTCAGATTCACAAAGATAAACACACTCTCGTAAACAAGGAACAGGAAACCACGACAGGGCAAGGAACTGGAGTGAATTAGGGATTTAAATATCCCTCTCTGGGCTCTGATTGGTCCGTATAAATTTGAGGGGCGGAGCTTGTGGTGTGCGCAATCACGTGGTCAGCGCTATCTATGATTTGGGCACAACGCCCAGAAGACGCGGAGGAGCGGTACCCGGCTCGCATTTAAGCTCGCAATATCGGCGAGGTTGTGCCGGTCGGGCACGGCTGTGCCATGCGGCGGGCCAGGAGCCGCAACAGTACCCCCAACTGGAATACCGCTCACCGGGCGGGAAGGAGCCGGCTTTTGAGGGAAGCGGTTGTGAAACGACCGGATAAGACGGGGCGCATGAACCTGGTCAGCAGGAACCCAACAACGTTCCTCAGGACCATATCCTTTCCAGTCAACTAGATAAGACAAAATACCCCTGGAGATTTTGGAGTCCAATATAGAACGAACTTTGTACTCCTCCTGATCACCCACTACCAAGGGCAGAGGAGGGGCAGCCACTTTAGTGTATCGATTGCAAGTAAGAGGCTTAAGCAAGGATACATGAAATTAATTGGCAATTCTCATGTGAGCAGGAAGTGCCAATGAATAAGCCACAGGGTTGATACGACGGAGGACCCGAAAAGGACCTATGTACCGAGGGGCAAATTTCATGGAAGGAACCTTAAGTTTGACATGACGTGTGGATAACCACACCTTGTCTCCTGGTTGACAGACAGGATTGGCACCGTCTCTTGTCAGCTTGGATTTTAGCAAGTTTTGATGCCTTCTGTAGTGCTGTATGAACGGAATGTATGAAGTGTCATGAATAGAATCCAAATGGGTGTTCAATGCAGGAATATCAGTGTCTGAAAATTCAGAAGGTAAAACAGTGGCGTGATAATCCTGATTTACAAAAAATGGACTATGATTAGAGGATTCATGAGTCGCATTATTTGTGGCAAACTCAGCCATGGGTAAGAGTTCGTACCAGTTAGACTGATTGGCATCGATAAAACAACGTAAATAAGATTCTAAAGACTGATTGGCCCTCTCTGCTGCGCCATTAGTCTGAGGATGATACGCTGAGGAAAATGAATGTTCTATACCCAATTGCTTAAAAAAGGCAAGCCAGAACCTAGAAATAAATTGGGTACCTCTGTCAGATACTATGTTTTTTGGCACTCCATGTAACCGAAAGATCTCTTTCAAAAATATTGTACAAGATCTTGAACAGATGGTAATTTTTTAAGAGGTACAAAATGTGCCATTTTTGAGAATCTATGACCATAAGGATTGTGTTAAATCCGTTTGAACTGGGCAGATCCACCATGAAATCCATGGCTAAATGGGTCCATGGAGCATTAGGTATCGGCAGTGGTTGTAGCAGGAGGAGATTTGTGAGAGGCTTTAGAAATGACACATATTTGACATGCCCCTACATAATCTTTGATGTCGTTCCTAAGTGTAGGCCACCAGAACCTCCTGGAGATAGCAGAGAGTTTTATGGACTCCAGAATGACCTGCTGTCAAATTATCATGGAATAATCCAAGTACCTTTTTCCTTAATGGTGGTGAAACGTATAGTTTATCGGAGGTCTCTCCACGAGTGCCTGAGTTTGATCTGCTATTATGGCACAGAAGAGTGGAGAAGACACTTCGGAAATTGTAGTGGCAATAAGGCATTCTGGAGGTATGATAGGGAATAGCTCTTGTTCAGGAACCTCATCTGTATCAAAACTGCCTAGACAGCGCATCTGCCTTGGTGTTCTTGGTCCCAGGCCTATATGTAATTACAAAATTGAATCGGGAGAGGAACAATGACCATCTAGCCTGACGAGAGGACAATCTCTTAGCGTCCCCAATATAAGCCAAATTCTTATGATCGGTAAAAATCAGAAGGGGCTCTTTGGAACCTTCTAAGAGATGCCTCCATTCTTTAAGGGCAAGTACAATGGCCAATAACTCCCTATTCCCAATGTCATAATTTTTCTCTGCAGGTGTTAGTTTCCGAGAGAAAAACCCACAGGGATGTAAAGGCGCATCGGGACTTTCTCTTTGAGACAGAATGGCTCCTACTCCTGTTTCTGACGTATCTACTTCTAGAATAAATGGTTTGGTCGGATTGAGATGTGTCAGGACAGGTGCTGAGGCAAATAAAGATTTTAATTGCTCAAATGCCTCCTTCGCTTCCGTGGGCCATGAATTGCAGTTTGCTCCTTTTTTGGTTAGGTTGGTAATAGGAGAGATTACAGAGGAAAAACCTTTAATGAACTTGCAGTAATAATTCGCAAAACCTATAAAGCGTTGTGTAGCTTTAAGGCCTTTGGGTAATGGCCATTGTAAGACTGCTTCCAATTTGCGTGGGTCCATTTTGAAACCAGACGGAGATATAACATACCCCAGAAACTGTATCTCAGATTGGTCAAACTGGCATTTCTCCAGCTTACAGTAGAGGCCGTTCTTTAACAGTGTTTCTAGTACTGTTCTCACATGTTCGTGATGTGTCTCTAAGTCTGGGGAATGGATGAGAATGTCGTCTAGATACACTAAAATGAACATGTGGAGATATTCTCTAAGGACATCATTAATGAAATCCTGAAACACCGCTGGGGCATTGCACAGTCCAGACGGCATAACTAGGTATTCGTAATGTCCCATTCTCGTATTAAACGCGGTCATCCACTCATGCCCTTCCTTAATTCTGACTAGGTTGTAAGCACTTCTGAGGTCGAGCTTAGTGAAGACTCTGGCCCCTTTCAACCTATCGAATAAAACAGAAATAAGGGGAATGGGATAGGTGTTTTTTATTGTTATTCTATTCAAACCCCTATAGTCTATACATGGGCGTAGGTCTCCTTTTTTAGAAACAAAGAAGAACCCAGCCCCAGCAGGTGAAGAGGATCTACGTACGTGACCCTTTCTGAGAGCATCCTTTATGTACTCTTCTAAACAAAGATTTTCTTGGGGATATAGTGCATATAATCCTCCTTTTGGGGGCATAGTGCCTGGTAACAAATTTATGGCACAGTCGTAGGGTCTATGTGGTGGTAATACCTCCGACTGAACCTTGTTGAATACCTCTTGAGTCCAAATACTGCGGTGGGATTTCTGTGGTCAAGGGAGGCGCTATAGGTATATTGATGGTACCAATTCGTTGTTGCACCTTTTTTAAACAAAGACCTCTGCATCTCTCACCCCAACTCACAATTTCTCCTTCAACCCAATCTAAACGTGGATTGAGTTTCTGGAGCCAAGGGAAACCCAGTATTATCAGACATGTAGGTGAAGATATAATTTGGAAAACCATTTCTTCAGAATGTAAGATTCCCACTGAGACAGATCAGCAGGGTTTCATGCGTGATGAGAGGCTGGGTAAGAGGTCTCCCATTGATAGCCTCTACTGCTATGGGTCTATCTTTCTGCCTTAAGGGCAGGAGATGTTTGGCAGAGAATTCCTTGTCTAGAAAATTTTCCGCTGCCCCAGAGTCAATCATAGCCTCACACTATACATTGGTTTTCTTACAAGACAAAGTAATTTTTATAAGGAAACGGTTCTTAGTCAATTTAGGGGACATATACATCACACCTAAGGTCGGTCCCCAAACGTGCCTTAGGTGCACAAGTTTTCTGGCCAAACTGGACATGAAAACCTTTGATGTCCTCTTTTGCCACAATACAAACACAACCCCTCTTTGAGTCTGTGTTGTTTCACTGCCTCAGTGAGTTTAGCAATGCCCAGTTGCATGGGTTCAGGTTCTGGAGGTGGAGCATGGCTAATTACCACTGGGTTAGAGAAACGAGGGGCTATGGATAAGTTAGAACGTCTAGTATGCTGTTTGTTTTTCTCTCTCTCTCTGAGCCTATTATCAATGTCTATCATGTATGCAATAAAGTCATTAAGGTTAACTGGAAGATCTCTGGCTGCGGTCTCGTCTTGTATATTTTCCGCTAAACCTTCGGAAAAGGCAGCCACCAAACCGCTATTGGTCCAGTCAACCTCAGACGCCAATGTCCTGAACTCTATGGCGTAATCAGTTACAGAGCGGTTGCCTTGTTTTATTCTCATTAGGGCTTTGGCAGCATTGTTTTCTCTCCCTTTTGGCTCAAAAGTAACTTTAAATGCTGATAGGAATACATTGTAATCACGGGCAACTGGATTTCCACTCTCCCATAAGGGATTGGCCCAGGTTAAAGCCTTACCCGTTAACTGGTTCATTAGATAGCCAATTTTCGATCTATCTGTAGGGAATGAACCAGGGGAAGCTTCGAAGTGATATTCAATTTGGTTTAAAAAACTTCAATTCCTTAGAATCACCTCCAATGGACGGTGGTTGGTGCGCCACAGGTGCTACTACAGGTGGCAGAGCCACAGGCGGTACCGGAGGTGCATCCAGATAGGCAGTTCTCTGGAGCAAGGCCTGGAATGCTTGGGCAAACTGATCTAACCTGTGGTCCATATCCTCCACCCTACTCTCACAGGCAATCATATGTTTGCATAGTTCCGCAGGATCCATGGCCCTATCGTAATGACATGGCTGCTAGTGTGGTCCAACACGCAGAAACTATGTAAACATATACATAAAAAAGGAAAGGAAATAAAAGGACAGAACGTAAACCGGACCTTAGAATGGCCGGACTAATACGCTAGAGATAGACAATGGTCAAAGGGAAAGCCGAGGTCAAGGAAGCCAGAAATACTCAGATACCGTTTAAACAAGCCAAGTCAGGGGAACCAGAATTCGGAATAACCAGGGAAAAAGCCAAGATCAGGATACCAGGAAGTCAGATTCACAAAGATAAACGCACTCTGGGGAACCAGGAACAGGAAACCACGACAGGGCAATGAATTAGGGATTTAAATATCCTCTGACCTCACGCGCACGTCCGTATAAATTTGAGGGGCGGAGCTTGTGGTGTGCGCGACCACATGGTCAGCGCCATCTATGATTTGGGCGCAACGCCCAGAAGGCGCAGAGCGGTTCTCGGCTCGCAGGTAAGCTCGCAATATCGGCTAGGTCGTGCCGGTCGGGCACGGCTGCGCCATGCGGCGGGCCGGGAGCCGCAACACCCCACATACGCACACTGAACAACCTCACACACATACTGCCCTCCATACACACACTGCCCCCCAAAACACACAATCTGCCTTGCTCCCACACACACACTGTTCTCCTTATAGACACTGCAACCCTCATACACATTGCACCCCTCACACACTAAACCCCACACACAGACACTGCACCCCCTCACACACACACACACTGCACCCCTAGCACACAGACATTTTTGCCCCTATCCCCTACTACAGGCCCTATGCCCTACTACAGCCTCAATCCCGGCAGACCCCTGGTAAGTTGTCAAACTGTTCTTAAACGGTTTGACTGCCTACTCTTGGAGGGTGTCACAGCACTCCTGCAACCATATCAAAACAGAGAACTGTAGTGGTTATTGTGTCTTGATTGTCCATGTAAATAATCTCCAAGTTTCCCTCCCGAGATTCGGTTCTGGATCCGCCCCTGCATCCTGAGAGGAAGTGTGTGCCTCGAGGCTGTGAGGAGGGGGCCATCCGGGGAGAGAGACAGGACTCGGAGAAGGCAGGAGAGGAGGGGGTGTAGGCTGCAAGAGCCAGTCCCTTACTCCTAACTTCCTCAGGCTGCAGACTGGACATCAGGGAAACCACTCTCCAGCATCCAAAAGGTAGGAAATTGGAGAGTGGCTATAAAAGATTATATTTTGACCTGCATATATATATGTATGTATGTATGTATGTGTGTATATGGGCTCTTTACTTGTTTGTTTTGCAGGCTCACTTCTATGTGTAATTACATCCAACAAATGTTATTTTCCTGAGTACATGCAAGATTTATCGTACAAGACTTGGGGAATCATTTTGTTTCAAACTGCAATTCACCCAAATGTGGATTGATTGGATAATTTCTCAAAATCAGAGTTAACATGTAGCTGAATCAAGAATCAAATAAATAATAGATGAGCATGCTCGTTTTGATTTGTGATTCGATATCATGCCCTTCATGCAAAAAAAGCCGATGATTTATACTCTTAAGAGTATAAGGGAGTTCTTCTTTCTCACAAGTGTTTACTGCCTTTATATATAATTTGTTGCTAACATAGCACTTACCCATAATCTTATATATAAAGTTATTATTTATATTTTTGTTATCCTGTTCTGTGCATGCATGACTATTCTGAATGCATTATTCATGCAACATCTTTGACATATTTTTTAGTATTGCAATTATAATAGTAGCCAATGAATACATGCCTAGCTTAATTAAAACCCTCATCATGGTCAGAACGCCATTTTGGTGTCAGAGAGTGTGTTCGGATTGTTTATGGGGAAATTGACTGTTTAGTCCTCGATCATGCTGTTGTCTATTCATCCAGATCAGGCTCGCACAACTTACGACCCACCAAAGTTTTTTTTCTGCGGTCCGCACACGAAGGAGACCCACTGGGTGGCCTTTGCACTTAGGGCCACCCAATTGGCAGTGTCAGCAAGGGCCGGTCCAGCACAGTGGGCCTTTAACAGCACGGCTTGCTGCTTATTGGCATCAGCAGTTCCAGGTGAGGGGGGGGACGGAGACATTAGGGCAATTGTGTACATAATCAACATTAAATTGGAAATAACACACTTATGGTGTTGTTGAGTCTTTAACACAAACCCCCTCTCACCCCCTCTCAGGGGATTTAAAAAAAATACACATATATATTATTTGTGTACGGGATTATAAAAGGGGCGTATACTTAAAATGGAGAGTTATATTTTTTAAAAATGAGTCGGTTGAGGTGTGCCGAAACCGACGAGAGGTTAGGCCTGTAAAAAAAGAGGGCCCACCCTGAATTATTGATATTAAAAGAGGGTGTGGAGGGAGGGGATTTCCGGAACCGACGAAGACAGGTAAGTGAGGGTTCCTTGGGTTTAAATAGGCCTAAATCCCTCCCACAACTACAGGCATACGCCTTCTATTTGTGTACGGGATTATAAAAGGGGCGTATACTTAAAATGGAGAGTTATATTTTTTAAAAATGAGAGTCGGTTGAGGTGTGCCGAAACCGACGAGAGGTTAGGCCTGTAAAAAAAGAGGGCAAAAGTAAGAGAAACAACATTTATTAACACAACATTATTTAGACATGTTACAAAATGCAAGTCTGATCTCTTTCTCCGGGTTTGGAATGTACTGGTTATACGCAGATGATTTCCAACGGCCCATTTTCTTTATAATATGTGTTGGCACTTGACTACTTGAGGCTGTTGTGGCTGCTCCGATGCGGAATGAGTGTCCCGTGAAGGAATTAGGATTGAGGCCTAGTCTAAGGAGTAAAGCGCGGATGTATAGCATGAATTGTTTAGTGGTGAGAGGCTTACCTTGTAGGGTCAACAGAGGCAAATCTGGACTTTTAATTCGTTGATTCAGTATGAACTTATCTAGTACTTGTACTGGGCACCATATGGAACCGGTAGGAAAGTATTTAATGTCTACTGGGGGACCTGATTGGTTAGTTTTTGTGAGGGGAATCGATAGTATGAAATGATCATGTACTCTAGTTAGGTTTCCTTGTTTGAGACAATTTTTTGTGTCGGATATTTTCTCCACTGAAAATTCTTTAGGTCTGAGGAACACAAAAAAGGCTAGATACGCTGCTGTCTTAATTACTAGGTTAGTGTTATATTCAAAAGGATTTTTATCTAATAGATTGGAGATATCTTTAAAAATGTTACTGTCTATGGGGAGTCTTTTTAGGGGTACATGTGACTTTTGCCTCTGGATACCTTTTAGTATACTTTTAATAGGGTATGTGGACAAGAAAGGGGACTTGTTCGGGAAAAGAATTAGCATGAAATGTTGTACTCCTGTTAAGTAAAGTTTTATGGTATTGTAGGCTAGTTTTAATGAGAGGTGGCAAAAAGTTGAGAATGCAACCATAGTTTCTACAGAAAAACAGTTTATTATATTGAAATCTCGTACAAATTTTTTGAACAGGTCAAATGCCCTATCGTAAGCTTTTTTTGTGTTTTCCGACAAGGCTGCCTGTGCAAGAATTCTACTGTGTTCTAGTAACTGATTTAGAGCATGATTAGGTCTTTGAATTGTGGGGGATTTATGGAGTGTTTGTTTGCTGTAGGGTGTAGTTTGAAGAATTCCTGCAAATTAAAACGAGACAAAGCATCAGCTGCGTTATTTAAGACACCAGGAACATGGATACAATGCATATAGAACTGTAAATTTGCAGCCAACCATGTAAGTTTCCTTACAAGACTCATGATTGGCAGGGACTGAGAACGGCCCTTGTTAATTATGTCGCATGCTGCTTGGTTATCAGAGTAACATTTCACTGCTTTCCCCCTCCAATGATTTCCCCAGATGAGAGCTGCTGCTACTATTGGGAAAATTTCGAAGAATGCAGAGGTTTTGTCGAATTTCTCTAGGGTAACTGTTTCGGGTGGCCAACTGTCGTACACCCATTCGTCCTCAAATATTGCAGCGTACCCGGTGGTAGCTGCTGCGTCTGTCCAGATAACCGGGGACTCATCTGATATGGGGGGAATAAAAAGTGACCTACCGTTCCATGTTGTTAAAAACAGTTCCCACATTTTTAGGTCGGCCCTCGCAGGATTGTCTAGATTTATTCTAGTGTCGTCGTCAGGGAGGCAGTGTAGGAGAGACAGAAGCCTAGAGATGAAAGACCTGCCTTGAGGGACAATTCTCATGGCAAAGTTAAGGGAACCCAAAAGCGACTGTAACTCTTTCCTGGTACAAGACCCTTGGTTGGTGCAGTTGTGAATGTTAGTAAGAATTCTGTCTACTTTCGTCTGAGGGAGGCTAGCTTGCATAGTCGCGGAATTAAGAGTGATGCCTAAGAAAGTTATTTCTGTACTGGGACCCTCTGTTTTGTTTGGAGCAACCGGGACTCCTAAGTCATTAAATAGGGATAGTGCATTATTTAGACTATGTGGCGTGTAGTAGTTAGGCTCGATATATATAAAAAGTCATCGAGGTAGTGAATTACTACTGGGCACCTGGAATTGTTTAGCAGTAGCCAGTTTAAGGTTTCTGCGAATATATCGAAGATTTTCGAGCTACATTTGGAGCCGAAGGTCAGCCTGGTTGCAAAATAGTATTTCCCTTCCCACTTAACACCATGTAGATGCCAGAGTGACTGTTTAATTGGTAGGAGTTTGAAAGCGTTTGAAATATCTGTTTTACTCAACCAGGCTGCCTCGCCTGAGTTGACGATAGCTTGTATGGCATCGTCTATTTTTGCGTACTGCAGTGAAAAGTCTTCTGACGGTATGAGAGAATTTAAGCTTGGGGATGTGGAAGTATGAGGTGCTGAAAAGTCGATTATTAACCTCTTTTTATTGTTAAACTTGCCCGTGGCTATACCGAGTGGACTAGTTCTCCAGGAGGTGAAGGGTGGAGTAGTAAAGGGACCTATCATAAAACCAAGTTCAATTTCTTTGTTGAGGAGATCCGTTACAGTGACTGGGTCTGTAACAGCTGATTGTAGGTTGGGGCATTCTAGTATGCCTGAAGGGAGTGCTACCAAACCCGTGTGAAAGCCTGTCGTGAAACCTGATACGAGAAAGTCTGTCAAGTAAGAAGAAGGATGTACAGTCAAGTAACGTTGTAAATTGTTTACGTTTATTGGGGTCATAGCTTTTTTAGGGAACAGTTTGTTTGGACACATAGTTTTCGCATGTGCTCTGAAACAGATTGAGCAAACATGAAGTAATCTACAAGCGCTGTAACTACAGCCTCCTGCGTTAAAGTTGTTACAAACTTGAGCTTTCCCGAGAAATACTATAGGTCT